CTTTTTATTCTAACCACAACTGGTAGGCCAGACCTCACAATAAAGATTGAGGTAAATACCTTTGTGACGTAGAAGATACAACAAGCTATCATGTGCTGTATACTATCATAACTTGGATTTTGTTTCTTGGTTAAGGCAATATTTGGTAGTCCTTGCAAAACTACTATGCATTTTATCAAGACCTGAAAAACAGAAGTACAACGATTTCTGGTTTAACAAAACATAATAACTCACTTTTAAATGTTCTATTCAAATCAGGTAAACTTCAAACCATCAAATGCCATTTTTTTAACTTTTTACAGCATAAACTTTCCATTTAATTTTCCCCCATTCATTCTTTGTTGCACAATTTTCTCCCTACCCACCCCTCTTTCCCAGTTCATTTTTCTCTTTGAAGAAAAAAAGAAATTCTTTACTTGTTATATAATTCCCCCTCTGAGTCCACACTTTAATATGCATTTCTTTTTCTGTACTTTTATCATGAAAAGAATATCTAATCCTATGTTCCTGGGTTTGCTATGATGCTGAACCTTGTGCCATGGGGATATCAAATACCATAATGTTGTGGACAGTATTTGGTGGAGCTCCCAGTTGTAAAACAGGTTGGGAGCAGGAGTGGCATCCACATGCCTCTGGAAACTATGAACTTGGAGAAACAATGATAGCTATGGAAAGGTATTAAGTCTTTTGTTCATAGAGTTGCTATGAGTCAACCTCAACTCAATGGCAATCAACAACAACAAATTCCTTTTAAACAACTCTCTCTCATTTGTTTAAACGCAGTATGCATTATTTATCCCCTTTTCTTAGATTCCTCCCAACCCTGATGTCAGTCTTATTTTACAACAGCAGCACTATGCAATATTTGTCTTTTGTGAGTAAATTATTTCACTCAGCATAATGTCCTCCAGGGTCATTCATTTTGTACATTATTCCATTTGTTTTTCAATTCAGCATAGTATTCCATTGTGTGAATATACCACAGCTTCTCTATCCATTCGTTTGTTGATGGGCACTTGGGTTGTTTCCAGCTCTTTGTTATTGTGAACAAAGCTGAAATAAACATGAGTGTGCATATATCTTCTTGGGTGGCAGTTCTGGTTTCTTTAGGGTATATTCCCAGTAGTAGAATTGCTGGGTCAAATGGTATTTCTATTTCCATATGCACCATACAACCTTTAGTAATGATTGTGCAATTTTACACTCCCACCAACAGTGAATAAGGGTTCCAGATTCTCCACAACCTCGCCAGCATTTGCTGCTTGCTGCTCTGTTGAATTTTGCTATTCTTACTGGGGTAAGATGATATAGTTGTTTTGATTTGCATCTCTCTTAGAGCTAGGTATTTTGAACACTTCTTCATGTGTTTGTTCACCATCTGAGTGTCTTTTTTGGTAAAGTGTCAGATGCAATTATTAAAAATTATTGATAGATTGCTTATAAAGGAAATAAAGTACAATTTGTTAATTACCATAAGATGAAGACAGAAAATAGCAAAATTTTATCCAAGCTAGGCAGGACTTTCAAAAAATATATGGATGAGGACAGAACTATTACTTACTACACTATGAAAAAGGTACTTTAAAATTATTTAAAATCATTTCCTTTAAAATTAAAGCCTAGCATTCGCAACAAGAACAAGCATTCACAGTCAAGTAAATCAATTAATATTGTTGTTATTTCCTGAATTTGATAGAGTACAAGAAAATTAAACCTAGCTTTCCATGTTATTTCTCAGTTCTGAGAAATATTGTGGAAAAATATAGAAGAAATGTCAGCAATACATTCATCGTTTAGTTTATCCTAGAGGACAAATGAATCCTTGGATGCTGGTCATTTTCAGGCACCATAAATGCTTTATCGTTCTAATACTGTTACTATCTTTGCAGTACACTAACTAATATTTATAATGCTCCCCCTGCCCCAGCTTCCCCTTATTATCATTCTTGTCTCACACCATATCCCCAAAGTATGTTAACAGCCTGATACTTTGTCATTTTCTCCTGTCTCATATAATCATATACATATGTATAAATACATATACATAAGCAGAAAGAAGGTTTTATTACAAAATGGTATTCATACACACTTTACTGAACTGTTGTGCATAACTTCTTCATCCAAGTCTTGTGAATTATCTTTCTAAGTCTCTGGGCATAGCTTCAGTCCATTATTTTTAATGGATGCATATTATTATTTGATGCACATAAACCATAACTTATTCCACCTCTTCCAGGGCATCCATGTTTCACATTTTGCTGTTGAGGTGACACAATGTGAAAGTACTGGCTATTTTTCTATTACTGTGATTCCTGTCTCTTTTTACCCTCACCAAGAATGTTGCAGCAAACACCTTTATGCATATTGAGTTGCCACTGATAAGGAGCAACTAAGGCACCAACTCTAAGATGAAACTTTGGTGAGGATGAGACCTCAGAGTGTCCACTCTGAATGTAAGATCACCAACTGGTATCATCTCCTCCGCAGGTAGTACATAGGAAAATCCAGGTTTCCTAAATAACCTCTCCTGCTTTGACACTCACCTACACAATTTTAGCTATTGAAGGCACATGTCACAGTTTATGGTCTAAGAGGAACATAAAGTAAGATGCTCCGACACCTTGGAAATGAGGATATGAGTCACTTCGCCATGCGAGTCACTCAGATCAGCAGACATGCCAGCTGGGTGTGCAGGACATTAGAATGGGCAATAAATGAGGGACGTGATGCATATCACATGGCCTGAGACCAGCTTCAGCAGCAGTAGTCTGCCCCATTAACTTTTTTTCTTGTTCAATTTCCCCAGAGAGGAAAAAAAGATCAAGCAGAATTCTAGAGAGAGCTGTGTCCAGAGAACATTAATCTCTTCTCTCAGTTCTACAGTCACATGAAACTGAATTCTCACAATAACCAGACGGCTTGGAAGCAGACCTCAAGCTTCAGGTAAGGTCAGAGTCCCAGCCAACACCTTGATTGCAGCTTGGTGAAACTATGAATAGAAGACCCAGCTAACTGGTACCCAGATTCCCAACTTGCAGAAGCAATGAGGTATTGTTTTAAGCACTAAGTTTATGGTGATCTCTTACAAAGTGTAGGCAATATAATCTCTTCAACTAGGTCTCACCTATTCTTTCCCTCTAACTTGAAGCTCCTTCTTCACCACAACACCAAGATTATTTTTTTTTCTACTCACTATTTTTCCCCTAAATGATGGCTTTAACAATATGCTTTGAATACTTAACTACTGTTTCCAACTATTACAAAAATAAGAAAATGGAAATAAACTTTAAAACCTAGAAAAGCAGACTATATTTAAATGTGGATTGCAATTGAGCTGTTTGTTTGCAAATAAAAGACCTACTAAATAAAGAACATGCATAAAAGGCATTTTATGTCTTCCCTTATACTTCATCAGATGTTGTTGTTGTTGTTATGTGCCGTCGAGTTGCCTGCGACTCATAGCGACCCTATGTACAACAGCCCTAAATTCCGCTCTGTCCTGTGCCAATCACACTGTCTCTGACACTCCCATCCCAATTATCCCAGTCACTGAATCAATCCACCTCATAGAGGGCCTTCCTCTCCTGCGTCGTCCCTCCACCCTCCCAAGCATGATGTCCCTCTCCAAGGACCGGTCTCTCCTCACTACATGTCCGAAGTAAGTTAGACGGAGCCTCAGAATCCTTGCCTCCAAGGAGCCACCCGGTTTAACCCTCTCTAGGACAAATCTATTTGTTTTACTCGCAGTCCATGGAATTCTCAGTACTCTTCTCCAGCACCACAGCTCAAAGGCATCAGTTCTCCTTCTATCCTCCTTGATCATTGTCCAACTCTCTGATGCATAACAGGTGATTGCGAACTCTATGGCCTGTATCAGACGCACCTTAGTCTCCAGAGAGACACCACTGCTCTTCAGCACTTTGGAGAGGTCCCTAACAGCAGACTTTCCCATGGCAATGCGCCTTTTAATTTCCTGGCTGCTGGTGCCAAGACTGTTGACTATGGAGCCAAGCAAACTAAAGCTGTGTACAGTCTCAATCTCTTCACCATCCATCCTGATGCTGCCAATTGGTCTAGTGGTGAGAATCTTTGTCTTCTTGACATTGACCCTCAATCCATATTGGAGGCTGCAGTCCTTGACACTCTGCAGCAGGTGCTTCAGGTCCTCCTCAGTTTCAGCAAGCAGGGTTGTATCATCCGCATAACGCAGATTGTTGATAAATCGTCCACCAATTCTGACCCCACATTTCTCCTCATAGAGCCCAGCCTCCCGGATAATCTGTTCTGCATATAGGTTGAGAAGGTATGGAGATAGGATGCCTCCCTGGTGTATGCCCTTCCCAATTTTGAACCATGCAGTGTTCCCTTGCTCTGTTCTGACGACTGCCTCCTGGTCCAAGTATAAGTTTCGCATTAGAACGATCAAGTGTTCTGGGATTCCCATTCGTCTCAGAGTCAGCCACAGTTTGTTATGATCTACACAGTCAAATGCCTTTGCATAGTCAATGAAACACAGACAGACATTCCTCTGGTATTCCCTGCTTTCAGCCAAGATCCATCTAACATCAGCTACAATATCTCTAGTACCACGACCCCTTCTGAAACCAGCCTGGACTTCTGGTAGTTCTCTGTTGATGTGCTGTTCCAGTCGTTTTTGGATAATTTTCAGTAAAATCTTGCTTGCATGTGAAATCAGTGAAATTGTTCTGTAGTTTCCACATTCGGTTGGGTCGCCTTTCTTTGGGATAGGAACAAATATCGATCTCTTCCAGTCAGTTGGCCAAGTGGTCGTTCTCCAGATTTCTTGGCACAACTTGTTTCATCAGATAGGTAACTTAAATTTTTAAAATCTTTTCCTGTTAACTGGAAACTTTCAAAACAAGTATTTGTGGCCTATTTATAACTTCTAAGGGATATAATTTTTTTCTTTTCCAAAATATTTAACTGAGTTACTTTTGTAAATGTTCTTTTGATAAGGATATGGAGAGAAGGCCCCTTACCTGGACGACAGGTACCAAGACAATATTGTGATAAATGATAGGGGCAAGGAGCCCATAACATTGAGTCACAGCTTGAAGGGCATAACTGGAATCATTTAGGAAGTTGCTAAGTTCCAGGGCTACTAATACCCTCTCACATTCAATCAGTCTAGCAATCTGCAGAAAAACAAGCACAGTTACTCAAATCAAATGTAAAGTACTTAATTTGTGCTTCTCTAAGAAAAGATGTGGAATGTGATCTTTATGGTCTAACAATGACATAAATATTGGCATGAAGAAACTCTCAAGTTCAGAAATTACTCGAACTCCACAGTAATGCTATGTTTGGGTAATATAACCACATTCAGGTTTTTTTATAAAATAATCAAGAACTATAAATTACTAGTAACTGAAAAGAAAACAAATTTTTTAATTTTTATTTTATTAATTTTAATGAACATTTAGAGAGATTTTGGATTTCCATTCATTCGTTGTTGCACTTTTCTCCCTGTCCAGCCCTCCCACTGCCCAGTTCGCTCCTCTCTTTGAAAAGCAAACGAAAGATTGGTTCTTTGATATGCAATTTCCCGCCCCACTCCAACCTACCAAAGTACACTCCACTATGCAACCTTCATTCTGGACTCTTGTGATAACCATAATACCCTACCATATATCGCTTTTAAATTATGATCTTCATCATCTGTTTCAATGCAGTATACATAATTTATCCAGTTTTTCTCAGTCTTACCCCAACCCTGATGTCAGTCCCATTCTACAACAGCGGCACCATGCAGTATTCGTCCTCTTGTGACTGAGATATTCCACTCAGCAAGAAAACAAATTTTAAGACAACAGTTTGACTATATTTTAATGTTTTAAAAAATCTAGTTGTAAAAAACTTAAATAATATATAAAAATTAAATACAGCAATGCTATAATATTTCCCTCACTTAATTTTCATTTCTCACTTGGATTTGTGAGAAAATGGCAAATTTTCAATAGAGGAATTAATCTTCCCATTACACTCTGCTACTTACATGAAAATTATAGCAAAATGTAAAGTTAGAGTTTTGAGATTAAATTTCTTTAAAAAAAATAAAGTCCTATTTTTCTCTTCCTTTCCCATTTCTAGGAAATATTTCTTTATACTTTAAAGATGCATATAAGATTATGTACAAAAGAAACTGCATGAGTAGTAACCAGTAATTTTTTTTACATAGCTCTGGTGGTGCCATGGTAAAGAACTGCCCTGCCAACACAAAGGTGCATAGTTCGGATACATCTGCTGCTCCTCGGGAGAGAGGTAAGCACTCTCCTCCTCTGTGATTTACTGCCTCTGAAAACCTGCTGGAGGGTCAGCTATGACTCAGATCCAGCTCGATGACACACAATGACATTTATTACTAGAACGGGACTCAAGCATTCTGGAATTCAATGAAATACTTAAAATGTGCTTGTGTTTTCAGATATGCTGGAAGAGAAAATGGAATAAAATATAGTAGGAACAGGATGGCTGGTGTTAGATCACGAGCTCAAGGATGTGATCTTGTCTTGGCCAAAGGATGGTGTCTTTCCTCTTCACATCCCCAGATGCTGACATAAGTAGGTGTAATAATTGGTCGGTTTATTCATTAATGAGTAAGTGGATGGAAAGGGAAGGTAACAGGTGGCCAAAGACTTCATTCATGTCTAAGGTGATTAAATGGAGAAAGAAGAGTGGGAAAGGAGCTGGAGAAAAGAACAAGGCAGGATCATTACTAAAACCAGAGACTCTGGGGCTGCAATGAGGCAGCTGGTACTGTTAGGACTGTCCTGAGATGGGATAAATCCTGCTGCTATACAGGAAAACAGTATTATCATAAAAATGGATGCAGCAGCTTAAAAACATGTCCAAGGCATACAATTTTTAAGAATTATTGAAAATAATGTATAGTGCATTGAAACAGATGAGGGAGAAAACTGTTTAAAAAGGATATGTGATTAGCTATTATTGTCATGACGGGATCCCAGAGCGAAGGCTTCACAGTGGAGTGAACCTGGGGAGAGGGATTGTAAAACAATGAAAGAATTTTTCTTTTAATTTTCACAGAGAAAAGTGTACTGGAGAGGAAGGGGTGGGTGGGGAGAAAAGTGCAACAATGAATAGAAATCCAAAGTCTCTCTAAATTGTCATTAAAATTAATAATAATTAAAATATTTTTTAAATGTGAAATACAATGTATATAAACCAATGAAAAAATATTATGTTTACCAAAAGTTTTTTAAAAAGTAAGATGTGTTTGTCTATATATATTTGATAAACTACAGAAATCACAGGAAAACAAAACCATGATGTTTCAGAAATACCAGGATTAAAATAGGTTTTACATAACACATTATGTATTTTTTAATATTTAGAGTATATGTAACTTTTGCACACAAGAGAAAAATAAACACAAAGAAGTTGAAAGCAAAACTAACCCATGAAGAGAGACCTAAATAACATGCATAGAATGACAATTAAACCAGCAAGATCATGGCAGGCCATTCCCAAACCAGGACATGCAATCCCAGAAGTGAAAACATCAAGTAACAAAGAGAAATGGGCATCATTTCTGTCACTAGTTCTCTTACTTGTTGGGTGGGGAAAATCTCGTTGCCTTTAATATTATCACAGAAGAGGTTTTCTTCTTTGATTTTAATGTCACTTGTGACAAAGATATTTCTAAGGAAATGGTATAAAAGGATTATAGATGTCTCTGCCAAAATGTCTGAATACAATCTGCAAAAGGAAGTAAATAATGTATAAATATAAAATTATTCACCATGCACACTTTTTAGGATTTATTTGCTATTTAATAGCTGCATAATGATCCCAAGATAGCAACAAAAATTTATGGAACAGCTACTCTTGTATAGCTAGGGATTGTACAGTAAGTTTAAATTACAAATAAACTATCCTTAGAAACAAGTTCACAATTAAGAAAACTAAGCTTCTGACATTTTAGATCATTGATATATAAAATAAAAATTAGCAAAGTTTCTAGGTTCTAAAATAGTACATGTAGTTGTTTTTCCTATCAATATAAAGAAGTCACTTTAGATACTGGGAAGCTGAGAAAATAGGCCTAATAATTCAATTAATGCATTTTCGGGGAATGATTTTCCATTTACAGTCATATCAGTCATGGTTAAAAAGAGATAGTCTTACTAACTCTTGGATTATTTGTAATTTTTCTTTTTTAAAATATTGCAGTCAACAGTAACAACTATTGGCAAAACAGTGAGATGCCTTCTTTGTTATCAATATTCCTTCCTTGCCATTAGCTTTCTATGGGGACAAACTCTCTCTCCTAACACCTTCAGGTCTATCTATCCTTTGCACCCCTCCCTCTCACAGATCAGAAAAGGATCAGCTCTCAGTAGATGTCAGTACACAGAGGCAGAAGACTATTTGTCTCATCACCATGTTAAACTCTGAAATTCTGTTTGCCAGAATTTTAGTTCGTTCTTTCCTTTACCTCCTACTAAACTTTGTCTGGCCTCATAATAACCTTCAGTGCCTTGACATATGTAAGTGGTCCATGTCACCTTCCCCTGCTTCCATGCCCTTCTTTGCCCATCTCACATTCTCATCCATCATTATCAGTTGTGATCTTGCGAGCATTTTAGGTTCTGTCAAGTATCTGCTTTATGCAAATTAAAATGTGCTGAAGCTTGCCTGGTTTTTCTATTAATATTTCTTCTATAGTGATCTCGCACTTATTTCTTCTACTCTGTCTTTCATCATCTCACAACAGAAGTCAAAGAACATCTACCTATACACAAGCCACTATTTTAGATACAAAGACGACTCAAACTGTTCGTTAGATGCAAGCAGTTCGGTTCTATCCCAACTTGAGTGACCTTCTATCAGTTGAGTCAGCAATGCTTCCATCTATAGCTGACATCTCCAGGTCCACACTCCTCAGGGTAATAAATGTTCTCATCCACGTGCTGGCCCTCCTGGCTTTTCTCTCATATTCACCAGCATTTCCTCGTGTCTGCACTCTCTCCCTCTCCACTGGCTCACTTCCTTCTAAGATCCAGAACTCTTTCCTTGTGTCTGCCTTTCCCCTTAATCCGTGCCCCAAGACTTCTGTCCATTTTCTTCTACTCTTTACCCACCACCCTTTACATGAATGGTTTTTACTTGTTGCAAATTTTAATTTTTCTTTTATCTGGTCCATCACACTACAAAAATGGCTCCTGGATTTCTCAAGGACCAGCTCTAAAAGCCTCTTTGAAGTCTTCACCCTGCTCAGCCTCTCTGAGGTATGCAGTTGAACAACTGCTCTGCCAGGTTCAGCTCACATGCCATGCTGCTGCTCTGGCCCCTCCTGGGGACTTTCTCACTTCCTGAGGGTCCTGAGGTGGTGTGCTCTCCTTGGGCTCCCTTCACTTCCCAGATCACTCCTTTGTGATGTTGTGCTTAGTTCCACCTCTTGTTTCTTAAATGTAGAGTACCCAGCGTTCAAGGTTAGTTTTATATGTCTTTTGCTAAGTAGTCATTCCTTTAGAAATACCATACATTTTCATTTTTTCAATCATGGAATTTGTGGACAATTTCTAAATCTTTGTTTAGTCTTAACCTGAATGTCAGAACTAAATATTCAACTCCCCTACTGAATATTTCATATCTACAGAGGTGTCTGCTGGAAACTCAAACTATCCCAAATCAAATTGGCTGTATTTCTTTCTCTCATGTACTCTTAGACACATAGTTCCAATCTACCAGCTGCTCCATGGGAGATAGATGGGCAATCTCTTACATGTGATTTACTGCCTTTGAAAACCTGCTAGAAGGTCAGCTATGAGTTGATTTCAGTTTGACCATTTTTAACAACATGTACACTTAGTAAAAGTCATGAGCTTCCCAGTTAACACTAAAAGTAAGAGTGAATTTTCACTTCCTTCTTTCCCTTATTCCCACAAAATATAAATCTTATCTCTTCCTCCCTAAAATGCTTCTTAAATCTACCCCCCACACATGGTCAATGCTAACTCTACATTTGTTTGGTTGGATGGTATTAGACATTTATGTGAATCAATACCTTGCCTCACTTAACAGTTGCATTTCGTTCTCATCAACGTTGATTGAGGAATAAGATATTTGGTCTTCTTATTAAAGGAATTTGGATAGAAAAGATTGTTTTGAACTTATTAAGACTGCTTATAATCACACCAATGCTTTTTTTCTGGCATTGGTCTTAGTACATCTAAAGAACCACAAACCAGTTGCCCTTGAGTTGACTTTGACCCTGTGTATCAGAATAGAATCCTCACAGGATTTTCAAAGACTGACTTTTTGGCAGTAGATACTAGTCCTTTTTTCTGAGATGCCTCTGGATAGACTTGAACTTATGCCTTGTGAGCATCCGCTGAATATATGAACCATTTGCACCACACAGGGACTCACTTTTAAGAAAAAAGGGCAGTGAGTACTGAAAGAAGGCCTGTTCTTTCTACTTATTATGGTCTCCACTGGCTTATTTACAATTGCCAACAGCCTAATCCTAAAGAGCTCTTCAACAAAAGGAAAAGCTTTCTCACTGTAACTGGCCACCCATCAGACCTTGACCTTAGCATTAACCTGACCTTTCACTGCTACAAAAGACTCCAGTGCATGTTTGTGTTTTCTGATGTGACTGATAGTATTTTCTTTGGTTGGTATTTGATATTTTTGTTCTGTAGTTCATTCTCTTATATTCAGAATGCATCCACATGCCTCCGGTCAGTATTTTTTCTGCCTCTAGCAGGGAAGTTTCTAACAAAGACTTGAGACCTTCGACTGTATATTCTCATCACGTTATTTATTATAGTTTTGTATGAGTGATCTTAATATATAACTGAAAAGAAACTGATTCAAGGCTACAACCCAAAACCTGTATCTCAATAAGCAAATTCATATCTTAAGATAATATTCTCAATTACCTTCTGGGTGTGATAGTCATTATATTGCTTAAACTAATAACGGGCTCATCATCCTGAAGTGGTGAAGCAACAAAATAATCCCAAACGGGTGAAAACACTTGCTTAGACAACTCATAGTTATCCATCTGATAGGAAGCCTATAACAGAAAATACATTTTCAGACAATATTTTTCTTTGTGGTATGCATATTGTAAACAAGAATTCTGACAGCGTTTGCTCGCGCACTAATTTCATACCGCGTTGTCCCCATTTGTTATTCTGTTCTGTGGTGCCCTGGTAAGGTAAGGACGGCCACTGGCAAGGGAAAGAGGCACATTTTGAAATCTCTTTTCTTTCTAAATTGCATGGAAATTCGAAACTCTGTAAGGATGTTTCAAATCCTCATAAGCAAAACAAAGATCACGGCTGAGCCAAATTAATTTCATTTCCATCTATCTCTGCAGTGCACTCCATTTATTATAGATACTGTTATAATGAACAATCTGTTCCAAGAGAAACAATCAGATTTCCCAAACCCAAAATAGGAAATATACTTCATTCTCCTCTGGTTCTGACTGACACTTTCGGAGCTTTTGTGCAGAAGAGAACAAAGGGGTTGAAGGGGTTGGAAAGGGGAAGAATAATGTAGAGAAGCCATGATAGGTTTGAAGTTTAACACATTTAACATTAAGAGAAGGAAATTATTCTACTAGTAAAGCCTAGATGTTCAGGTTCGGGGGAAAATAATCATCAGCTAACACTTACTTATGTCTTCTGGTGAATATTAACCTTTAAAGCTATTTCTAAAAATCTATTTGCTTAAACAAATATGTAACAATATGTAACCTCACCAAATAAGTGGTGTGCTGTTCCTTTTATAGAAAAAGGTAGATTGTAAGGGTTAAAAAATTTATTTAATTAAACATGTAAATTAAATATTATTATAATATATTCTACTCAAGAAAATAACTTATGGGTCTAGAACTTGCCAAATCAGTGTACATAAATAAGTGGTAAGAAAGCTCTTATGAAATGTCTACTCCCTGGTCAGTGCTGTAGAAACTGGCCCCTCAAAGCACAAGAATAGTTCCAGAGCCTGTAAAACTATGACCAAATTACAGAGAAACAGTCCCAGGAAAACTCTAAGGATAGCATACTGTGGAGGATTGACAGAGGGGACAAGAAGAGCGTAAGCTGGACACTAAGGCAAGGATGAGATTTGGGTGAGCATAAACTACTCAGTACCTGAAATCGATTTACTGGTGGAAACTACCACCACATGTTTAGGAAAGACTGGAAATATGGAGCAGAATTTGAAGAAAAGTGGAAAATATTATTGGAGTGGGCATGAATAAAGAATGTCTTGAATATCAAATGGAAGCATTTTAAGAGGTCGATTACATACCCTACTGTATTAAATTCATATTACAATTCTCTGAGGTAGGTACAAGTATCATCCATATTATCCATCTCTCTTTAAATTGCAGAAGAGAGAACTGAACTAGAGAAGTTGAGTAAATTGTACAGATATGGTACAAAATGGTAGGGTCAACCTTAGAATGGTGGTGATTGAGTCACTTTTCTGGCTGAATTTGTCATATAGAAGAGGTGTTCTAAGTAGTAATCAAGGCACCACGCAGGGAGCTCTAATGGCTTAAGTGCTGCACTACCAAAGGAAAGTGGTTCAAATCTACCTGCCGCTCCACAGGCAAAAGACAGGCGATCACCTCCCATGCAATTTATACCCTTTGCAAACATGCTAAAGGGCCAGCTATGAGTTGGTTCCAACTCAACATCACATAACAGCAACAATGACAAAGCGCCATGGAGAGAGTTCTTGTGGTCTACTTCAGATGGCGTTGTCCTGCCAACCCAAGGGCCATGAGCTGGCAATTCAAATCCACCAGCAACTCCTTGGGAGAAAGAGGAACATTCTCTTCCATAAGATTTATAGCTTTGGAAACCCACTTTATGGGCCAGCTAGGGGTTGGTTCTGACTGAACAGTAATGAGTTGATGTTGTTGTTAAGTATCGTCGAGTCACAGGCGACTCATAGCAACCCTATGAAGGAGAGTCCTCGACGCTTGGGTGCCTTTCATCCTCTCTCCAGGTTCATAGGGTTTCCAGAGGCAAGCTATTATGGAAGTGGATGCCACCCCTCCTTCCAATGAGTTGATAAGGAACAAAATAATTTTATGATGTAGCAATGAAAATAATGGCACATTCTGTGAAAGAAGGTTGTTGTTGTTGTTTTTAGGTGCCCTCAGGTGGACTATAACTGAAAGTGACCCTATGAACATCTGATTTGAACTCTGCTTTATCCTGCACCAACCTCAAGATCACCGCCATGCTCAAATGCACTGTTAGAGTCACTGTGCCAATTCATTTCATCCAGAGACTTCCTCTCTTTTAATAACCATTTTCTTTTCCCACCATGATGACTTTTTCCAAACAATATGTCTAAAGTATGTGCGACAAACTTTCATCATCTTTGCCTTTGAAGGGTGCCCTACATGTACTTCCTCTAAGACAGGCTTGTTTGTTCTTTTGGAACTCCGTGGAATATTTAGTACTCTTATCCAAACACCACAATCAAAGGCACTGATTCTTCTGAAATCCTTGTTCATTAACCAACTTTCATATGCATAGGAAGCAACTGAAAAGACCATAGCTTGGATAAGGTGCACATTAGTCTTTAAAATAATGTCCTTACTCTTCAGAACTCTGGAAAAGCACTTGACAGCAGATTTCTTCAATGTGAAGCTCTTTTTTTATTTACTGTTGCTTATGGATCTGAGTAGATTAAATCGTTGGCAACTTCAATTTTCTCTATGATGATTTTCTCTGCTATCAGCCAAGATCCATCTGACCTCAGCAGTGATATTCCTCATTCCATGGCCCCATTTGAATCCAGCTTGAATTTCTGGAAGTTCCTGTTGATGTATTGTTCCAGTTCTTTTCATAGTCTTTTCAGATTTTAAAGTTATATAACACAAATGATTTTGTTTAATTTCTGCCCTTTATTGGATCACCTTTTTTTTTTTAATGGAAACAAATACAGATCTCTTCCAGTCCTGTTGACTCCAAATTTCTTGGCATAGACTAGTGAGCATATCCAAGGTTACATCTGTTTGTTAAAACACTTCAATGGGTATTCCACCAATTTCCAGGATCTTTCCTATTTGCCAGTGCGTTCAATGCAGCTTGAACTTCTTCCTTCAGTACCATTTCCGAAATGGTTCAGTGTCAAAAGGAAATTGATTGCTTTACTTTTCTTTATTCTGAAAAAAATCCCTTAATAATATTATTTGTTCACTTAGTGAAAACTGTGAGACAAGAGGACACCATAATAAGACTAATGGTTCCAAAATCATGAGCTTTGTAGTTCATTTATTTATTTTAACAGCATACCTTGACGTGAGTATGCTCAAGGAGGGCTAATCTGATAGTAGTATGAAGAATAGATTTTAGAAGAGACTAGAATAAAATGGGGGGAATGGGGAACTACTGAAAGACTAATAAAATAATTAGATACAACAAATGATCTTTTGACCTCCCAGGTTACATGATTTTCCTATTCCCTCCTCATTCCCCTAAACAGTGTTCTGTCATGCTCCAGGACTCAATCTTTGGGTCACTTTTCTATTTGCATTCATTGCCTTGATGCTATCATTCTATCTTGTTTTTTTTAATAGTTCTATCAATGGTGTCTCTCTGGAGATTAAGGTTTACCTGATACAGGCCATGGTCTTTGCAATCACTTGTTATGCATCAGAGAGTTGGACAATGACTACGAAGGATAGAAGGAGAACTGACGCCTTTGAGCTGTGGTGCTGGAGAAGACTATTGAATGTTCCATGGACTGCCAAGAAAACAAACAGATTCATCCTGGAGAGGGTTAAACCAGGCCGCTCCTTGGAGGCAAGGATTCTGGGGCTCCGTCTGACATAATTTGGACATGTTGTAAGGAGAGACAGGTCCTTGGAAAGGGACATCATGCTTGGTAGGGTAGAGGGACAGCGCAGGAGGGGAAGACCCTCTATGAGGTGGATTGATTCAGTGACTGGGGTAATTGGGATGGGTGTGTCAGAGGCAATGC